TACTTGGCGTCATCGTTCTCGGAACCGCTCTTTGAGTTTGTCCAGGGCGCTGATCATGCTTGCCCGACATGTCGACATCACCCATCTAATATTTCCTCCCGCCGTCGAATTTGCAAAGACATCACCTGCATGTAAAAATCTTTTTCCTCACCAAAGTGATCACTCAACCTCGATCCTCCATCCTCCTCCTCCTCCTCCTCCTCCTCCTACTCCTCTTTCTAAACTCTCGCTCACTTGTTGCAGGTTCCATACTACGACTATGCCCTTGACATCATCCTCGTTCGTTACCTCTCCTCTTACTGCTGCTGCTGCTCCTCCTCCTCCTCGTCATCCTCATCCTCATCCTCATCCTCCTCCTCCTCCTCTCCCCTCTCTCTTCCCTCCTTCCACTTCCTCTCATTCCTTACGCCCATACGTTACAGGATATCGAGACTCCACAGGACGAGATGCTCACGCAGGACCAGCAGGTAGGGGAAGAGAAGGAGAGAAGGAGAGAAGGAGAGACGACTAAAGGAGGATGCAGGAGCTGGTTGAGTCTGCAGCAGAGGTCTTGTACGGTCTGATCCATGCTCGATACATCGCCACACAGCGGGGTATGCAGCAGATGGTGCGACATCTTCGTCCTCCCCTCCTCTCACTCCCCTCCTCTCACTCCCCTCCTCTCACCTCTTCGTTCAGCTCGAGAAGTTCCGCAGGTGCGACTTCGGTCGCTGCCCTCGCGTCCTCTGTGACGGACAGGTGCTCATTTCCCCGCTCTTCCCCTCCTCCTCCTCCTCCTCTTGCTCCTCCTCCTCTCCTCCTCTCCTCTTGCTCCTCCTCCCCTCAACGCGGTTTGTCCTCCTGAATTCGTCGCAGGCTGTGCTTCCCGTCGGACAGAGCGACATTCCTCATCAACTGACCGTCAAGGTGCAGAGGACGCAGAGAAGAGCAGAGGGAGGGGAGGAGACGAGGAGGAGGGGAGGGGAGGAGACGAGGAGGAGGGGAGGGGAGGAAGTGATGAGGGGGTTGAAGGAGCATTGATATTGAGAGCAGGTTTTCTGTCCTAAATGTCAGGACATGTATTATCCCAAGAGCTCGCGCAAGGCGGCTACTGATGGTGACGTCTTCTTCCTTGTTGTTCCTCTTCCTCCTCCTCCTCCTCCTCCTCGCCCTCCCCTTCTTCGTCTCCTCTTCCTCCTCCTCCTCCCCTTCTCCTCCTCCTCTTCTTCCTCCTCTCCGCTTCAACCTTCATCCTCCATGTCATTCTCTCCTCCCTCTTCCCGCTGTCTGACGTGCTTCTCCTGGCCCTCACTCATCGCAGGCGCTTACTTCGGCACTTCCTTCCCTCACCTTCTGCTTCAGACCTTCCCCGAGCTCTTCCCGCCCTCCCGTCCCGAGGTACCCCCCTCCCTCCTCTCCTTCACCCACCCCCTTGTTTCACCTCTGATGGAGGGGTGCTGCTTGCTAGGTGTACGTGCCTCGTATCTACGGCTTTCGGCTTTACAACGGACCCAAGGGGCACGGCAAGGAGAACCATCCTCCTCTCCGCTCCTGACCTCCTTGACTGAATGTATTCATCACTTCGCGTTCCTCCACTCCCTCCTGCCTCCCCCTCTCCTCACCTTACTCCATCCCTGTTTCTCATCTCCCCTCTTCTTCCTCCTCCTCTTCCTCTCTCTTCTCCCCAGTCCTCATCCCTCCTCCTCGCTCGATCGCCTCTGCTGTCGTCCTCGGCGTCCCCTGGGTCTTCGCCAGCAGCTCCAGCAGCTCCACTGCTACCTGTCCCAGTCGAATGATCTTTTGTCCCTCCTCGTCTCCTCTCCTCCCTCTCTCCCGCCCCCCTCTGTCCTCTCCCCATCTCTCCCCCCACCCCACTTCCCCTTATTGCCTCTCCTTTCACTTCGTCCCTCGCCTCTGTGTCTTTCCTTCCTCCCCCGCCCTGTCCTTCCGCTCTCCGCACCTGGTGGCAGGGCCTCTGCGGCGAGAGAGTCTGCCGGAGGAGGAGGAGCGGCGGCAAAATTCCCAGCTCAAGACACCTGCGAGTCCACTTGCCCTGCAGGAAGAGAAGAGAAGAATCAGGCGAGAGAGAAGGAAGAGCGAGGACGAGGACTAGCAGCAGCAGCAGCAGCAGCAGCAGCAGCAGCAGGCAGGAGGAGGAGGCAGCAGGCAGGAGGAGGAGGCAGGACGTACGTTGGGATCATCTTGGAGGAGGGAGAGGAGGGTATGAGCAGCAGGATGCATGATCTTCTCCTCTCCGTGTTTCTGCCGCAGGCGTCACCAGCTGCCCCCCAGCAACTAGTTGCTCCTCCTCACCAGTAGCTCCACCAACTTCGACAGACCATTCCCCTCCCCCTGCCGTTGATATCACCTCCTCCTCCTCCTCCTCCTCCTCCTCCTCCTCCTCCTCCTCCTCCTCCTCCTCTCTCCTCCTCCTCCTCTCCCCTCCTCCTCTCCCCTCCTCCTCTCCCTCCTCCTCTCCCCTCCTCCTCTCCCCTCCTCCTCTCCCCTCCTCCTCTCCCCTCCTCCTCCTCCTTTCATTCTCCCCCTTGCTCCTCCTCCTCCTCCTCCGCTACTGCCACTGACAACTCTGTTACGGCGAAATCGCCTCCTCCATGGACAAGGAGAAGTCCGCGGGGTTTCTCAGCTCGCTGTGACGGACAGACGACAAGTCCGTGAAGAAGTGTTGCACGTGATCCGGCAGTGTACCCTC